TGAAAACAATATAATACACGATTACACCCTTTAATGTTAAACCTACCATCTGAGGATAAGATCGTACAGAACCTCATAATGATATTATGTCATTCCAAAAACATTGTGGTCGCCCACCCATTAAATGTGTATATTGGGCGACAACAATGTATTGTTGCAAGTACCTACAAATTACAACTCACTTGTATGTAGAGCTTGCGACCGGACAATATTGTATCCCATTGTATATCYACGTCAGCCGTGATCTGCATCCCAAACGTAATCCGTACTGCATAATGTTTCTTCACGTCCTCCAAAAGTTCGAATTCATGCACTGGTTGTGATTCCAGTACAGAGAGCTCCGATTGAATAAGCTTGCCCATGCCGCTGCTGCCCTCTCTGTTGCGTTTGGCTACAATTGCGGCATGGGGGACATCAGGACCACCACTGAGGCCCAGGGCAAAGAGAAATAGAGTATTGGGAAGGCTCGGTGTCAGACACCGAGTTTTCCAATCCGTAGCATGCCGTCTGCCAGTYACGCATTATCGACAACAGACTGCTGTTTTTCTTACTACTACTATTACTGTTTTTACTACTTGATATCTTCTCCATGGTCGTGCGGCACCTTTAAAACCTCCACAGCGAATAATTAAAAAACGAAATGGTCGTCGGAAAATTTTAGTAGTGTGTCCGAGAGTGTGTAAGCACCAGCGAGGTTCTTGTGCGCCCAGATGACAACGAAGGAATAGAGAATGGACAATTAATTAAAACACCGTAACAGACAGTACAAAACCAAACACAATGGATGGGGATTTCTTCTACTTCGTGTAACACGGTCAACGGGCGAGAGGTGGCTAGTGCGCCCGGCTCCACCCACCCGTGACGTCATAGCGTTCTTTTTTAACACCGCTGTCCATTGTGTCGCGTCAGACGTCATCAGTCAGCGTGTTTCTTCCATGACGATCCGGTCGAATCTGTCTACCTAAYATCGTGTTAGCCACCGCTGCCGAATTGGGACGACCAATACGAAAAGCCGTGGTTTCCCCGCGGCCCTGCGTTCCCATCGYTAAGTTATTGAGATCAAAAGGTCATCCAATCGTGCGATAACGCGGTGAAACACATGACGTACTCGCCTACGGCTGATTCGATAACATCCGTTGGCCGTGGCCCGTTTGGCCGTTTCCCCTTACCCAATACCGCCTGCCCGGCGCCCGACCGACGCGCGACGCACGAATCTACACGTGTTCGGCGCTGCTGATGATCGAGGAGTTTCGTTATTTCATATTTTCATAATATGAGAAACAAAAAAACAGATAGCAAATGTTAACTAATAATCTTTTTTCCCTTTCACCTTTTGGTTTGATATTGTAACTCGTCTAGGCCGTCTAGCGTTCTAAGATCAAAACTTTACTGTAAATATAGGTTCTTATCACCGAAGTCACTCGTACAAACTGCTTCGACGGCGCTCGTGCGTGCGGTGTATTTTCCTTACAAGTCTTCAGTTCTCACAAGATTGGAAACTTTTTAAAAACTTTTTTATAATTTTTTTTCTGAGTAGTAAGCAAAGCAGTAGTTGCAGTACTACAGTACGATCAAAGTGTATACTTCCCATAATCCTGTTTTTTATTCGCTTAGTAACGTGCCCGCTGAAGGTCAACTTTCATACGTTTTCTGCTTATATAGTAAGTTGTTYGTTAATAAAAATTGTTTTAACAGTTTTCTAAACCCAACGAAATCATTTACTTGSCAACTGTTTGATATGAGACRCTGACTTTCTTTTTAAATTTTGATTACTTTTGCATGTTATACTACAAATTGTATTATTCATGACCAAATTATTGATTTTATGAAAATCAATACTTATACCTCAGACTTGCAATACTGGTGAACTCAGTCTTAACTTGAAATTTCATTAACAGTAACAGTTTAATGTATAAATAAATATTAAATAATAAATAATAATAATAATTGTATTTAATCATCAAAATTGTGGAAATTGGACAACATTTCTGTATTTTATGGAGTAGGTCAAAATTTCCCAACTCATACTTGATTCACACTCATTGTACAAAGTAAAAACAAATAAAAATAAATGTTATGTAAATTTTCATAATTATTATGTTTTTATTATTAATGCCTCACAATTGGATAATTATTATTATTACCCTATTTTTAACAAATCTGCCTACCTTTATATTATATTTTTTGTTTTGTTTTGCACACTTATTGCATGTCCTCTTAACT